ATACTTTTCATGATTGCTAAAAATTACAATTTTAATCTAAAATAACTATATTAAAGATTTCCACAGCTTTCTATTACTTTGTAGTTTAATTGTTAAGGAACTCTGTAGGAGGAATTCTAAGTATCATTTGCAGATGGCAAGTCCTTGAGCTGGTTTATCTAATAATAAGAGAAAAATTAGAAGAAGGGATATAGGAGAGTGAAGTTGTTAAAAAAAAGTAGGCATTTATTAATAAAAAGCACCATATTGAGTGTTTAGTATGTGCCATCACTATTCACAGCTCTTGGGATACAGTAATAAACACAACTGTCAAGAGTCTTTTTGTGGAGTGCTTAGACATCAGTTTTTGAGAGGAAGAGATAGAGAATGGACAAATGAGTAAGTATGAGTTTTTAGCAGAGATAAATGCTAGGAATTCTAGTAAAAGCTGCCATTTAACATGGGGTGGCCAGAAAATACCTCAGTGCTGAGGTAATAAGTGATTATATACCTGAAGGAAGCAAGAGACAGAGCCACGTGGCTGGATGGGGGAGGGCGTTCAGCCAGAAGGAATAGCAAACCCAACGGCCTTGTGTCATATTAAAAGAAGAGCAACTGAATTGTTTTAAATGGAAAGAAAAAGTGAAAAATATTAGTAAAACAAGGAGTAAAAAATGATCAGAGATGTGGTAGGGAACACCCGATAGGCAAATATTTGGGGAATTTGTTTTTATTCTGAGCGAGATGAGGATCCACTGGTGGATTTGGGAACACAGAGATAATGTAATCTAAGCTTAGTTTTTTTTTTTTTTTTTTGGACAGGCAGAGTGGACAGTGAGAGAGAGACAGAGACAGAGAGACAGAGAGAAAGGTCTTCCTTTACCATTTGTTCACCCTCCAATGGCCGCTGCGGCCAGCACACTGCGGCCGGCGTACTGCACTGATCCGAAGCCAGGAGCCAGGTGCTTCTCCTGGTCTCCCATGCTGGTGCAGGGCCCAAGGACCTGGGCCATCCTCCACTGCACTCCCGGGCCACAGCAGAGAGCTGGACTGGAAGAGGGGCTCTGGCACCCCGAGTGGGACTAGAACCCAGTGTGCTGGCACCGCAAGCGGAGGATTACCCTATTGAGCCGTGGTGCCAGCCCCTAAGCTTAGTTTTGAAAGGATTGCTCTAGCTGCTGCAGCTGAGGAAGGAAATGAAGGAGGAGGAAGAGAGATCAATTAAGGAACAAATAAAATAATCCAACCTGCTGATAGGAGTAAGGTGGAGAAGGAGTCAGACTGAAAGTATATAAAGGTTACAGATGATGGAGAAGTGTGGTATGACAGAAAAGGAAGACTGAAATACAACATCAAGGTCTCTAACCTGAGCAACTGAAAGGATGGAGTTCTTTAGGTGAATAAGCCTAGGGACAGAGCAGGCTTGAGGAAGAAAGTAAAGATTGTGTTTTTGGACACAGATGCTCAAGTAATAATATCAAGCCAGCAATTTAATATGCAACTTTCAACTTCAAAGCTGAAAACAGTGGGAATCATCAAAAGACTGTCTCCTGGAGTGCATCAATATTTAGAGGTTTGATAAAGGAGGAGAAATCAGCAGAAGAAATTGAAGAGGGGACAATGAGATAAGAAAAGGAAGAATTGGGGCCAGCACTGTGGTGTAGCATCCCATATGAGCGCCAGTTCAAGTCCCGGCTGCTCCACTTATGATCCAGCTCTCTGCTATGGCGTGGGAAGGCACTGGAAGATGGCACAAATCCTGGGCCCCTGCACTTACGTGGGAGACCCAAAAAAAGCTCCTGCCTCCTGGGTTCAAATCGGGGCAGCTCCAGCCATTGCAGCCACCTGGGAAGTGAAACAGCAGATGGAAGACCTCTCTCTCTCTCTGCCTCTCCTTTCTCTGTAAATCTGACTTTCAAATAAAATAAATAAACCTTTTTTAAAAAAAAGAAAAGAAAGAATCAAAAGAGAATAAAGACTAGGAAATGAAGTGAATAAAGAGTTTCCAGAAGGAGAACATGAAAATGCAGCTGGTATGGGCTGAAAACTGACTGTTGGATTTAGCAATATAGAGATCTTTGATGATCTTGACAAGGGTTTTTACCACATCATAGTAAAGACACAATTGAATGGAGGAGCTCAAGAGTGGTGGAGAGAAAAGAGGTAGAAACAGCAAGTAAAGTCATCCTGTAAGAATGACTCCTATAAAGAGGATCCGTAAAACGGAGTAGTGGAAGGCATCATGGGTTAAGGGAACTTTTTTTAAAACTGGAAGAAATCATGACATATTTGTATGCTAATAGGGAAGAAGTAATAGAGAAATTGATGATGCACATGAAGGTTGAAAGAAAATTGCTGGAGCAATACTCTTGGGAAGGTGAGAAGGCATGGGAAGCAGCCCCGGAAAGCACTGGCCTTCACAGGACCATGGAGAGCAGCCAGGAGAAAGGTAAAGGATGTGAGCACAGATACAGATAGGTGGGTGGATAGGGTGAGGCCATTTAATGTCTCAATGAAATGAGATGCAAGCTCATCACCTCAGAATGAAAGAAAGGAGAAGGACTGTAGGAAATTTGAGTGAAGAAAGAATGTATCGTGGAGGAGAACAGGAAAGTGAGTAACTAGTGAATGCCCCTGGGACTGTTGGTCAAATCTGAGCAGGCTTCTGTGTTTTTCTCTAGCATCCTCCAGAAAAGAAGATTAAAAATCAATCATAATATTTGAGTCTATAATGTATTTAAATTTGAAAAAAATACCTCCCTCTCTGGATCATAATAAAGTATTATAAATGAATGGCTGGGGACATTTGCACTTTCAGTAGTTAGAAGAAACTCTTTTGAATACCTGATGATTTAGTAGTAGAATTTGAGACTTCAATAATAAAGTTCACGGGGAGATATTTTTGGAGAGTGAGTCCAACTGCAGTATCTCAAACAGCAGTATATTGTTATCAATTGATGCATGAATTTGCAGTTTATAAATAAGCGGTTGTAATTTCAGATATTTGCTTCTTGACAGAGGCTATTAGTTAATGTCAGAGTGAGCATGCCACTTAACTGCTCTAGGAATAAGAAAACAATAGGAACAAGGAAAGGTTTAAGGGGGGTAGGATGGTTGTAAATCTTCTTTGTTGCTGTCTTGTGGCTGTCTTTAAAGCCATGATTCATTTCCAGGGTTTCTCACCAGAGAAAATGATAAAACCCACACTGATTCCCAATATTTTCTTTTGTAATTATTTGTCCATATTACAATAGCAGGTTTCAGCACTTTTGGTAAAATGAGAGTATAGTGGAGTCTTCGTATCCAAGATACTAATTGTGGTCACTGCTTCCCTTTAATAAAGACAAGGAGATTTCTTTCTCTCCCTTAAATGGCAGAGCTAACCTTATAATCTGTCATACCTTTGCCAAGGCAAGGAAATTCTGAAAGAATTCTTCTGACACATTTTTCTAGAATACTGGAAAAATAGTGTATAAAGAACCAAGAGAAGCTGACATAAAGTAAAGACAGCTTACTGTTCTGTCTTTCCCTGAATTGGAATGCTATTCTATAAGAAACTCCATTTTATTTTCATGTTCTCCAGGGAAGAGAAGTACAGATTGATTAAACTAAAATGAAAAATCTCAAATGATTCTTTTACACAATTATTCTATGCCAGAACTTATAGGGTAGATGCAGAAGTCCAAAGAGTAGTTGAGGGGCATGACCCTGCTTCCTGACTGAGGTTAAATGGGAACCTTGAATTCTGACTTGATTATCCCAAAAAAGAAGCTCAAAAACAAAATGCATAAAATAATGCAATGTAAAGATACAATTGTGTTTTTTACCTTTATGATTTATCAGTTTTTCATACATCACTAAGAGTTATTATGTAGTCTCTTATTTATTTATTCGTCCTACTCGGCAAGCATTTATTAAATATATGTATGGTATAAGACTTTGTGCTAGAAGCTGAAATTATAGAGTAGTCAGCAATGGTACTTTCCGTCATACAGCACATGGTCAAATTTTCCAAAATACTCAACAGTATTCAGTTAAATAAGGTCCCCTTGAAAGTTTATGTTGACATTTAGAACCTCAGGATGTGATCTCACTTGGAAACAGAGTCTTTACAGAATCATCAATTCAACAACAGATCATACTCCATTAGAGCAGACATTAACCCAATGTCTGGCCTCCCAATAAGAGGCAATTTTTGGCACTGGAACACACAGAAGGAAGCAAGATAGCCATGTGAAGACTGAGGCAGAGATTGGAGATAAGTTTCTATAAATCAGTGAATGCCAAGGATTGCTGACAACCACTGAAACTAGGAGAGTCAAGGCAGGACAACTCTTCAGAGCCTTCTGAGACAACATGACCCTCCCCACACCTTATTTCAGATATATAGCCTCCAGACCCTTGAGACAATAGATTTCTGTTCATATAAACCACCTAGTTTGTGGTAATTTGGTATGACAGATCTGGAAAACTAATTCAGATATTTATCCATTTTGCTGTATCTACACTAACTTACTGATCATGATGTTCTTTCCTCTTCTTTCTTTTGTGAAATCAAACTGTTTGAGCAGGGAAAATTTCAAACAAGTGCTCTGTTACCAGTGGACATGAAATGCTCTACGGAGGGACAGGCATTTTCATGCAGTAGTTAAGTTGCGGCTTGGTACACCACACTCCACTTTAAAGTCCTGGCTTATGTATTCTGATCCAACTTTCTGCTAGTGCACACCCTGGGAGGCATTCATTGATGGCTCAAGTACTTGGGTCCCTGCCACCCACGTGAGACCCATACTGAGTTCCAGGCTTTTGGCTTCTGCCTGGCCCAACCCAGGTATTTAGAGAGTGAATCAGCAGATGGAGAATCCCTCTCCCTCTCCCTCTCCCTCTCCCTCTCCCTCTCCCTCTCCCTCTCCCTCTCCCTCTCCCTCTCCCTCTCCCTCTCCTTCTCTTCTTGTCTTCAAATAAAATGAAAATAAATGAAATGCCCTATGGAACCCACTTATTCCTTTTTTTTCACTCACTTTAATCCAGTGCTTTTGTCTTCATTCAGGGCTGGCGTTTTCTTCTTTTAAAGTACATATATGAGACAGTTGTCTTGCTCTCATACTGAATGTATTTCTATGGCAGAAATAAAAGCTGTCAGTTGAAGACTCTAGAAACTAAAGCCATATTTTTTAAAAACCAAACAGCAGGTGAATGGTTTATAATTCTTCCCTGATTTCAAATACTTTTTGTGAGAAGGAAAGATGGGAAGAGAATGATATCACAGCTTCTTAAAATCAAATGAAATTTCTACTTGGCCACGTCTTAATAAACAGAAGCCAGCTAAGCCATATTTCTTTTATCTGCACAAAATGAATGGCATTTCAATCAATAGATCCAACAGCAAAGAGCAAGCCATGGTACGTACAGCTGCCAATGTCAAATATAGCAAGTACTCAAGAATACATTGGCAGGGACAAGTTTCGTGCAAATGCTGTTTTGTGAAAAGAAAATTCTCATGGTAATTGTTGGTGACCATGGAGATCATGTTCTAAATTAATGTTGTACCATTATTGATTTGGAGATAGGAAATGCATGTATTCCAAAAGCTCATTACCTAGCAACCACTGAGGTAGAGTCACCCAATCTGAAATAGCCTTTCTCTAGAACTATGGAGGTCAAATGACAGGTACTGTTTATTGCATTTGGTTTTTATATTCAAAAATAAGCCTGCATACAATAGAATACTTATGAACATTATTTTCAATCCTGTCCAAAACTAGATTCTTTTACAAAGTATTGGAAAGAGCATAAAAAGACTTACCTAGGTGCTTAGGAAATGGAAAAAATAGAAATTATGTGCTTAGGTTAGATGATATTTATCTTCTTCAAGAGTAAATCTTCTTTATTCCTTTTTTTCATTATTCTTCACTTATACTTCTCTCTGTGTGTGTTCCTTTCAATCTCTCCTCTCTCTCTCTTTCTCTTTTTCTTTGTTTTCAAGTCTAGTAATGTATAAAACCTTATAACATATACATACAGAACTATACAACCAAAACAATCTATTTTAATGTGGGTTTATTTTTAACAGATATTTCATTCTGAAATAAGTCCCTAAGATAATAATGCTCAAAATTAATTGGAGGGCTGGTGCAGTGGCATAGTGGGTACTTATGTGGGTGCCACCTGCAGTGCTGGCATCCCATATGAACACCGGTTCTAGTCCCGGCTGCTCCACTTCTAATCCAGCTCTCTGCTGTGACCTGGGAAAGCAATAGAAGATGGCCCAAATCCTTGGGCCCCTGCACCCACATGGGAAATCTGAAGAAGCTCCTGGTTCCTGGCTTTGGATGGGCACAGCTCCGGCTGTTGCAGCCATTTGTGGAATGAGCCAGTGAATGGAAGATCTCTCTCTCTCTCTTTCTGCCTCTGCCTTTCTGTAACTCTGCCTTTCAAATAAATACATAAATCTTAAAAAAAAAATTAGTCGGAAAAATCTCAACTCATTGTGGAAAAAAATGTACCTTGTTTCCCCTGGGGTGAATGGTTTCATGAGATACATCTGTTGTGAAGTGCATAATCTAAGCTTACTCATTCAATTCATGGACTCAAATAAGAACTCACAGGGAAATAATGCTCTTCAATGGCAATAAATGTTTGCGCATCTGCTTTAAAAGAATTTTTTAATCACTTCCCACATTTAATGTGGTAGAAAAAATTTCATGTTACTGTAGAAAAGTTTTTAAACACGATATTTTCCATCTGCTGATTCTTTCCCCAAATTGACTGCAACAGCCAGGGCTGGATCAGGCCAAAGTCAAGAGCTAAGGACCCCACACACGTCTCCCTCGTGGGTGGCAGAGACCCAACTGCTTGGGCTTTTATCTGCTATCTCCCGGAGTGCAGTTTAAGAAGAAGCTTTGTCAGAAGCAGAGGCAGGACTCTATCCCAGGTGGTTCTGGATACTGGATGCAGATGCCCCAAGCAGCAGCTTAACCTGATATGCTACCATGCCTGTTCAGGTGGAGATCATTTTTGAGTCATATGACATACATCTTTAGAGATATATTATAATAGCCTGTCACATGTAAAAACTGATTTTTTTTTTTTTTTTTTTTTTTTTTTTTTTTTTTTTACTGTCTGGTAAAACCTAAGAAGCAGCTGGACTTCTATAATAAAACTATGCAGGTAAGACAGCCAAAGATATTGACCTTCTTTACATAATATAGTTTCATAATTTTAAATGATGTTTGACTTAATTCTGATTCACATCTCAAAGAAAGACATGGCTACTCACTAGAAAAAAGTAATTCTATCCTAAGGATTTGCATGGGAATAATTATGTGTATCATACATGTAACTATGAATACATCCTAAACTGTTAGAAATTGGTCATAAATCTTTCAAACTGTTTCATTTTTGATTCATGTAGATTTCCTTAGCACACTTTTCATCAAAGTTAGTGTTAAAATCTTAGTTTCCTGTTGAGTGCCTGCAGAAATGGTGAAATAGAAAATTTGGCCTGACAATTTTATCCGTTAGTTATTATTCTTGTAAAGTTAGATTTATAACCAACTAACCACCGAATGAATCCTGTATTTCTCAAACCCTATTTTTTGTCTGTTGGGCACAGTACAACCCAAGAGGCCCTACTAAATTGGATTGTAAGCAATATATATCTTCATATACATAGGTATAAACATATGACGCATACACCTTGGCTTTAATATCCTTAGCTGACAATGGTTATGTGTTTTGTGACTCATTAATTAAAACATTTATTGAGTACCTACGAAGGGTCAGGTTTTGGGGATTTGGAAGTAAATAATACAAAGAGGTCTGCGTTTGTATAGCACACAATCAGTGGTGACTTTTGTTCCATTACAAATTAAATGTTTAATGAAGATTATGCACATAAGTTTGAGCAAGGTAAATGGAAGTGATATTTATATACACTGTGTTATATATAGTGTAATATATATATTATATATATTGAAAGTGAGCAATTAAACTAATTTGGATAAATATACACAGCTGTGTAATCCCAACTGTTATCAAACTACTGGACATTTGATCACCCCAGAAAATTCCCTCATATTCTTTATCACTGAGTCCAGAAATCTGCATTTTAATTGCTGTCACCAAAGATAGCCTTTTCTTGTTCTTATATTTCATATAAATGGAGTTCTTAGAGTACGTGCTGCTTCATGTCTTGCTTTCTTTCACTCAGTTTGAGGCTTTTGTGGTTCATTTATGGCATTAGATTAGTAGTTCATTGCTTTCTATTGCCGAGCATCATTTCATTGTATGAATATACTACAAGTTGTTTATCCAAATGTTGATGGACATTTGGATTGCTTCCAGTTTTGAAATCTTATGAATAAAGCTGCTGTAAACAATCTGGCATAATTCTGTTCCATATAAGTCTGTTGTCAGATATGTGTACTGTGAACATTTTCTCCCAGACCGTAGCGTGCGATTTCCTTTCTTAGCCCTGTCTTTTGATGAGCAGAAGTTCTTCATTTTGATGAAGTCAATTTGTCAATTTTTTCATTTATGATTGTTGCTTTCTGTCTCATCCTTATGAAATCTTCATCTTTCTGAATCACAAAGACATTCTGTTTTCCTACAGAAGCTTGAGAATTTCAGCTTTTAATCTTAGGTCTAGGACCCAGTTCAAGCTAATTTTTCTATAAGGTAGCCATCAAGCTTGACTTTTCCCTCATGTATTTACTGTACCATTTTTTGAGAAGTGTATATTTTTCCCATCAGATGGCTGTGGGGCATTGTCTAAAACCTATTTTTTGACCACATAAGTTTCTGGACTATTTTCGGATTCCCTATTCTGTTCCTTTGAACTTTTATTATTTTTAACCTTTATGTATTTTATACTTTTTTATAGAAAATTTGAAATAAAGTAGCATGAGTCTGAATTTTTCTTCTTTGTTTTTTTTTTCAAGATTAATTTATTTATTTGAAAGGCAGAGTTACAGAGAGGCAGTGGCAGAGAGAGAGAGAGAGAGGTCTTCTATCCACTGGTTCACTCCCCAAATGACTGCAATGGCTGGAGCTGGGTCAATCCAAAGCCAGGAGCCTGGAGCTTCCTCTGGGTCTCCCACATGGGTGCAGGGGTCCAAGCACTTAAGTCATCTCCCACTGCTTTCCCAGTCCACAGCAGAGAGCCGATTGGAAGTGAAGCAGCAGGAACTCAAACTGGTGCCCATATGGGATGCCAGCATTGCAGACCAGGGCTTTAATTTGCCACGCCACAGCACTGGCCCCTCAAGGTTGTTTTACTTATAGTTTCTTTCCAGATAAATTAAAGAATCAACTTATAATTTTTACTTTATAAGGCTCACTAGGATTTCATTGAAACTATGTTGAATCAACCTAATACAATTGAATTTTACTGATCAAAATGACGGGAATTAGCACTATAGTAGTACTTGGCTTTCCAGTCCATAAACATGGTATATCACTCCTTTTTTTTTTTGACAGGCAGAGTGGATAGTGAAAGAGAGAGACAGAGAAAAAGGTCTTCCTTTGCCGTTGGTTCACCCTCCAATGGCCGCCGCAGCTGGTGCACTGCGGCCGGCGCACCGCGCTGATTCAATGGCAGGAGCCAGGTACTTATCCTGGTCTCCCATGGGGTGCAGGGCCCAAGCACTTGGGCCATCCTCCACTGCACTCCCTGGCCACAGCAGAGAGCTGGCCTGGAAGAGGGGCAACCGGGACAGAATCCGGCACCCCGACCAGGACTAGAACCCGGTGTGCCGGCGCCGCAAGGCGGAGGATTAGCCTAGTGAGCTGTGGCGCCGGCCTTATCATTCCATTTATTTAGGTTTCTTTTGTTTCAGAAATGATGTGCAGTTTTGCACATGATTTGTTAAATTTATTCCTAAGTATTTTATATTTCTGTGTGCTATTTTAAATCAAATCATATAATTTTTAAATTTATTGGTTATATATGAAATTTTATTTGGGTTTATCTACTAACTTTGTACCCTATGAACTTTCTAAATAAACATTTAGCTCTAGAAAATTGCATTTTCTAAAATATTAATAATGTGAAAATATTAATAATGTGGGTCTGAAAATGAATCACCATGTTCTCATCATTTCAATGTTCAGATGAAATACAGAGTTCATTTATAGCCTTATTTACCTAGACCAGTGTGGCCCATTAGAAAAATACAATGTGAGGGGCTGGGGCTGTGGTGTAGCAGGTAAGGTCATGGTCTATAGTGCCAGCATCCCATATGGTCACCAGTTCGAATCCTGGAAGCTCTCTGCTATGGCTTGGGAAGGCAGTAGAAGATGACCCGGGTCCTTGGGCTCCTGCACCCACATGGGAGACTTGGAGGAGGCTCCAGAGCTCCTGGCTCCAGCCATTGTGGCCATTTGAGGGGTGAATCAGCAGATAGAAGACCTCTCTCTCTCTCTCTCTCTCTCTGTCTCTTTCTCTCTTCCCTTCTACCTCTCTGTAACTCTGCATTTCAAATAATAAACAAATAAATCTTTTTAAAAAAGAGAAGTACAATGTAAACCATGAATATAAGTAAAACTTTTCCAGCAATCACATTTTCAAAACTAAGTAAATTTCCATACAATTAGATTTAATATTATGCTTCTAGTTCATCATAACCAACAATTATTATTTCAACATACAATCAACATAAATATTTTTAATAATATATTTGTTAGTCTTTTTTTGGCATTCAACCTTTGATATTTGGTGCATATTTTGCACTTAGAGCATATTTCAGTTTGAATTAGCTGAATTTCAATTACTCAATAGCTGTGTGCGGCTGATAGCATTCACATTGTGTAGTGTGGATAGTGTGGATATGGAAGATAAAAATG